AGGTTTTTCTGATTCAGCGGTAGCATAAAAAAAAGCTGCACCATTTTGAAATGCCGGCTTCCTGAGCCATGCTGCCAGCATGAACTCTGGCTCTTTCTGGAGGCCTAGCATTTAAATGGGGTCTTGTGAGCAGAGTGTTACAACTGCTTAATGGTTCAACATAGATACGCTGCAAACTTGGAACTGGGGTGATGTGCATGGCTTGCAGAGGCGATGAATGGACCTCTTCCACCATGCTGGACTGTGTGGAGCAAACAGAAAGTACCGAAAATCCCCTAGTAATGTCACGGCTTAAGTTTTTAAGAAGCTCTTAGAATTTTAAGAAGCACTCCTGGACAAAAAGAATTACAGATACATAATAGGACAAATTCAGACATAAAAGACCTCTAAATGGGTCACAGTGTTGGATAAATGTATGTAGGCTTTGGAGAGAAAAGAAAAAAAGTATAGAGAGTTATAAAAAGAAATAAATGGTTTATAAAAATATTAGAACAAAATCTTTAAAGACACAGAGTACAGACAGTCATAAATTGAAAGGAATAAAGAAAAACAATCCATATAAAGATGGAAAATTCACAGAGAGTCTGGATTATGTATATTATTGTGATTTCTTTGAATTTTTGACTGTGAAAAAGCTAAGTATAGAGAGACATTTTATTGTATGGGCTGCTAAGCTAAACCAACATGTATATTTTAAAGGTATCTTGAATTTAAAATATGGGTCTAAGGATATGTTGCTTTGAAAAAGAGGTTCTTCTTTTGTTTCCACAGAGGATGAGAACCTGTGGATTTCTTCCAGACTAATATGGTTTGATGGACTAAGACACCCTGAAAGGTTGTCTTGAACACCCCTCAAACAATCACTTCACACAATAAACAGCAGGAAGCAGTTTGGAGAGTACTACACCCAAATTCCCAACTATTGTTTATAAATGTTTTTTATATTTAAAGGGGGATATGCTATAGAGATTTGCATTTATATGGATCTTTGTTTATTGATGCAAATCTAAGGTCAATCTTCTTATATGTATATTTCTGCTCTTGATTAAGATATTATGATTGTGAAGTTCATTTAAAAAAATATAAGGTATAATTAAGAAATATAGGTTAATAGATAATCATCTGTAATAGTAAAGCTTATGGTCACGTTAGTTAGATTTTCTAGATGTGCAGAGATGTAGTTCAGATAGGTATTCTTCAAACCTTTCAAAGACTACAGAATATGGCATTTAAAATGTTTTAAGAACTTAGGACTTTTCATGACAATGAGACACATCTGCTCTTGGCAGCTCCAATCTACTTCAAGAAGAAGATGGGCATTGAAGAGGCTCCTTATGGAGTTGGTTAGCCATTTGGGCAAGAAGCTGCTTTTGCCTGGACTGCTCGATGAACTGGACATGCAGGACCACAGAGAAATGACTGCTGAACTTGCCTAAAGATAAGATGATACTTCAGGGTTCCTGTTTCATGAAAGAGTCTGCCAGACATTCTGCAGGACACAGAAGAAAGTGACTGACAAACTGCTAGTATAGGCAGAATTGTCTTTGAAATTTCCTGCTTCACAGAAAAGTCTGCCAGAAGCTATGGGCTGAAGATGGATGCCCCAATGGTACAGAAGAACTTTGGGTGACTGTCCAGGCAACAAGATGTCTCTATCAATTCTAGAGTTTTGGATGTTGTTTACAATGCATTTCCTGTTTACTTAGGTAATATTATATCCTTCTGGAGTCTTCAGTGGAGTTGAAGAGTAGATAGTGATAATATAGTTTTCCTTAGTTATTATAAAAGATAAAGTAGATGTAAATATTGTAACTGTAATTCTTACTTGATATCTGTTTTGTTACATGTAATTTTACTATGTTAAAGTTAAAACCTTCCTTTTTATTTAAACAGAAAAGATGAAGTATTGTGGGATTCCCCTTTGTATGCTGTAAATATGATTGATTAATTAATAAAGAAATTGCTTTGGACCTATAGCAGGGCAGAATTTAGGTAAGTGGGAATGATTGATTAATTAATAAAGAAACTGCTTTGGACCTATAGCAGGGCAGAATTTAGGTAGGTGGGGAAAACTAAACTGAATGCTGCGAGAAAGGAAGTAGAGTCAGAGAGAACCCTTGTAGCCCTGCCAGAGACAAGACGCCAGATGGAATCTTGCTGTTAAGCCACAATCATATAATGATACACAGATTAATAGAAATGGGTTAAATTAAGATGTAAGAGTTAGCCAATAAGAAGTTAGAGCTAACGGGCCAAGCAGTGTTTTAAATAATATAGTTTCTGTGTGGTTGTTTTGGTTCTGGGTGGCCAGGATGAATGATGGCCAACTCCTATGTTCTTTTGTTTGTTTTGAGACAGGGTTTCTCTGTATAGTCCTAGCTGTCTTAGAACTCAATCAGTAGACCAGGCTGGTCTCGAACTCAGAGATCCACATGCTTCTGTTTCCTGAGTGTTGGGACTAAAGGCTTGTGTCACCACCTTGGACACCATTAGACTGCTTTTGTCAGGTGTGTTGTCATAGCAATGAAAGAAAGTAACTGATACAATGTAACTTTGTAGAAGAGCTGTCTATTTCTCTAGGCAGAAGATTGCCTCTGCCAATTAGTGTACTTTTATTTTATTTATTTATCTTTGTAACCCTGGCTGTTCTAGAACTTGTTATGACTAGTCTTGAACTCACAGAGATCCTTCTGTCTCTACCTCCCAAGGGCTAAGATTCAAGGAGTCTTGTATCACATTTGGTTTCTGTGGTTCTTAGCCATGCAGACACACAGAACTGGTTTGGAAACCTAGACTTTTACTTGGTACCTATGTATTTTAGATACTTTATTTTTCCTCCTCACTAGGGAAATGGGACTTTGCTGGGCTGTGCCTGTGCAGCTGATTTCTCCAGAACAGTGATTCTCAACCTTCCTAATGCTGCAACCCTTTAATATAGTTCTTCATGTTATGGTGACCCCCGACCATAAAATTATTTTCATTGTTACTTCATAACTGTAATTTTGCTATTGTTATGACTCATAATGTAAACATCTGTGTTTTCTGATAATCTTAGGTGACACCCGTGTAAGAGTTGTTTGGACCCCCAGAGGGGTAATGACCCACAGGTTGAGAACCAATGTTCAAGTGTGCTCTTGCTACTGCCATCTTGCATCAAAGTAGCACCTCCCCTTCCCAAGGTTGTATGGAAATGAAAGTTGCCTGTGGTTACTGACAGGGTTTTGAGTCACAGAGCCATGGAGAATACAACTTGAAACAACATAGAATTGTAGAATCACTTAGAGGCATGTTCCCAGTAGGTGCTCCTTAGATCAAGTTCAATGTCACGGTAGACATGTCACTGTGTATGTGCCACACTGGAGCAGAGTGAAGCATGGAACATAGATCTGGCAGAGATCCCCCATGGTTAGGTGCTCAGCTGTCCACACAGACCCATTTCTGACTGTCTTCAACATACAATGGGTGCTTCTGTGCCTTGCAGCCACTTAGCCAGGCCACTACTGCTGTAGTTCCATTATACCTGGTCCCTATCTTTGGACCACATCAATGGCCATCTCCACCAGTCATGAGTCAGGATGCAAGGGCCAAGCTCAGGCAGGAACTGTGAGTCCCACTGCCAGGGGTAAAGCAGGGGTTTGCCCTCCTGCTTCTGTATAGGCACTGGGCAGGCATCAGAGATTGGGACAGGGCCCAGTGATGGAATGCAAAATAGAACTTGTACCAGCATTAGAACCTGACTTAGGGGAAGTCCTGGTGATTGCACCTGAGTGCTGGCTCTGGAAAGATGAATTTTGCAGAGAAGAAGAGGGAAAAGGAGTTCAGGGCAGGACATCCCTGTGACATCCTCCAACTGGATGTGATGTCATAGTCCTTTAATCCAAGCACTTGGGAGACAGAGGCAGGAGGACATTTCCTGTCCCAACTGCCCAGTCCCAAATAACCAGTAACTGCTTCCCAAATTCCACACAGAGGCTTATATCACTTATAAATGCTCAGTCAATAGCTCAGGCTTATTACTAGCTAACTCTTACACTTAAATGAACCCATATTTCTATTTATATTTTGTCACCTCATTTTTTCATATCCTCGATGGCTGACTGGCATCTCTCCTGAGGTCACCCTCATTCTTTCCATCATTCTCAGTTTGGCTTTCCCACCTAACTTTCTGGCCAGCTATCAACCTGTCAGCTTTTTATTAGCCAGTGAAAGTCATGCATATTTATAGTGTAGAAAAGGATTGTTCAACAGTAGATCTCTGTGATTTCAAGGTCAGCCTGGTCTACAAAGTGAGTTCCAGGACAGCCAGGGATACATAGAGAAGCCCTGCCTCAGACACACACACACACACACACACACACACACACACACACACACACACGTCAGTGAATCAGGATATGAATTCTCAACTACTACTTCTGTACCATACATGCTGCCATGCTTCCCACCATGATGACTATGGACTAAACTTTTGAACTTCTAAGCAATCCCCCAGTTAAATGCTTTCTTCCATGAGGGTTGCCTTGGTTGTGGTGTCTCTTCACAGCACTAGAACAGGTACTAAGACAGAATTATCACAGTGATTCTGTGATATTATTAGGTGACACAATCCAGAGTCACCTAAATACAAACCTCTGGATACATCTGCAGAGGGATTTCTAGACTTGATTAATCTACTGTAAGAATACTCATCCTAAGAGTGAACAATATCATTCTCTTGATTCCTGACAAGAGACATAATGTCAACAGCTGCCTCATGTTCCTGTTGCCATGGCAGACCCTCAAACTATTAGCCAAAATAAATAATTCCTTCCTTATGTTGTTTTGTCGAGTATTTGATCATAGCTTAAAAAACAAGTAACTACTGCTGAGTGGTGGTGGCGTACATCTTTAATTGTAGCACTCAGGGGGCAGAGGTAGATCTCTGTGAGTTCAAGGCCAGCCTGGTCTACAGAGTGGGTTTTAGGACAGCCAAGGCTATCTAAAGAAACTCTGTCTCAAAAACACAACCACACAAAAAATCAAAATGTTAGGCAATCATTTTTTTTGTTTGTTTGATTTTATGGTTGCTATTTTGACAAGGAGCCTAGATCATAAACTCAGAGGTACAGTTGAAGTCTCAGTCTTTCACTCACAACAGAATCTGGCTGAATGAAAAATAAGTAAGGAGGACATGGCTGCTCCTGGAAATGGTGGAGGAGAAGGTTTATTGTAGAAAAAAGAGGGAGTATAGCCAGAGATAGAGACACCTGGGAGAGTCCAGAGTGGCGTGACCTAACTGAGCTGGACCTTGTGAGGAGAACGGGGAGGAGAGAATGGAGAACCAGGAGAATAAACAGCAGACAAAAGGTCACCGACATGGTTGTATTATACAGGGAAGGGCAGCTCGGGAGAGGGCAGCCCAGACCCTAGGCTGGAGAAATTTGGTGTAAGGGGTGGGGTATCCGAGTCATACCCTTTTACAGGTAGGGGCTAAGGGATGCAGGAAAAACCTGGCAGCCAGATCTGTTTTGATATGTTGATATAGGCACCTCAGTCAGTCATTAATCCAGAATTTGAGAGCTAACACTGACTTTCCTGGGGCAGGGAGTGAGGGCAGACACAGATCTGACAACGTATTACAACAGACCCATAGATCATAATGAGGGAAGGAGACCAGCATTTAGAGTTCATTGGCCCCACCTACAGAGGCAGACAGAACTCTGTGAGTTCAAGGCCAGTCTGGGCCACACAAGATTAAATCTGTCTAGAAGAGAAACAAAGCTCACACAGAGGGGATCCCAGCATTTGGGATCACATACCTTTAATCCCAGAACTAGGGAGATGGAGACAGGAGTGATATGGCTGGGTGAAGAGAGGAATATAAGGTTGTAGGAGACAGAGGCTCAGATGCAGTCTGAGGATTCATTCTGAGAGGCAGTCTAAGGATTCAGAGAGATTTCAGTCTGGGGATTCGTAGAGACAGGATTGCCCCTTCAGTCTGAGCACTGGCAGAGGTAAGAACTCTGTAGTAGCTGATTGCTCTGCTTCTCTGATCCTTCAGTTTCTGCCCCTGATAACTGACCCTGGGTTTTTATTATTAAGAGCAATTAGAATTAATGTTACATCTGGCACCCAACTTTTGGGGTATGAATTCACGAAAAAGTCACTTATCTGTGGCTTTGCAGCTGCTGGCATAGGCTGGAGCTCCGTGTGGCTGGAGTCACCACCCCACCGGCTAGGTTTCCATGCAGCAACAGTCAACCTCACATCTTCACTGTCATCATCAGCAGATTTGGTGAGGAAAGTGGAAGTTCTTAAAGGAAAGAATTAGCTAAGAGAGAGGTTTTTTTTTCATGTTAAAAATATGAGAAACACTATTGTGATGGAGAGAGTTAAGTCTCTGTATGACTAGGCAATACATGATTTAAAAATGAAACAATTCAATGGATAATCAGCTTACCTGGGATTGATGTAACATTAATTATCATCTTGAGAATTCTTGGTTAATCTCTAAAAAGGTTGTTTGATATGAGTGCCAAAATGCAAGGCTTGGAAAAAGTAATAAAACAGATCATAGAGATATTAAATACAGACAGAGGGATTTAAAAGAGAACCAGTTTTAGCATTGCATTATTTAATTGGAGAGAACAACTTAAGGTTTCAAACAACCAACTTAATATACCCAATAACCTTATAGAAATTACCAAATGATAGATATCCCCAAGGCTGTATAAGAGCTGAATGAATTTATGTGCAAATGTTAGATTTAAGAAGATTCAAGGAAGCAATAATCTCATATGACATGCATTTACCATTTGTGAAGCAGATGTTAAACTGGTGGTCAACCTGTAATAGAATTATCCCTCAAGACTGGAGAGACTTGGCTACAGCAGTCTTGGAGCCTGCTCTCAATTACAATGGAATACCTGCTGGAAAGAAGAGACTAAGACCATTGAACAACAGAGTAAGGCGAGAGGTATGGAAATCTCCCAAGATCAACTTTTTGGGAAGGAGATTATACTAAAATATAAAGACAATCCTTATATGATGCAGCTTTGAATTCATCAGACAGAACTGAAGTCATACAGGGACCAAAAGAAACCACTGATTTCTTAAAGATTGACTTCAGTGGTAAATAGAATGATACCAAATTTAGAAGCCAGACAAATAATAATTAAATCTCTAGCTTTTGAAATGTTAATGCACAATGCTTAAAGGTAATTAGGCTATTAAAGGCAAGATCAGCACCTTTAGAGTAATGTGGTGTGGGAGGTCCTTTTGTTTATGTGTTGCTTTTATTGGTTAATGAATAAAGGACTGCTTTAGGTCTGCACAGGAAATAGAAGTAGGTGGAGAAAGCTAGGCAGAATGCTGGGAGAAAGGAGGCAGAAGGACAGAGAAGTGATGGAGCTGCCGGAGACTGGCACTGGGAACTTTAGCTGGTAAGCCACAGCCACGTAGAGATACACAGGTTACTAGAAATGGGATAAATTAAGATTTAAGAGTTAGCCAATAAGAAGCTAGATCTAATGGGTCAAGCAGTGATTTAATTAAAACAGTTTCTGTGTGATTACTTCAGACCTAGGCTAGCCAGGCAGCTGGGAACTAACTAGCAGCTCCCTTCCTCCTACAAATTGGTGTTCACATGGCCAACTAAAATCAACTTAAAACTTGAGAGATCTTGAAAAGGAATTTTACAAACACAAAAATACAGAGTTTAACACAGCTTCTTGCTATTTGCTGGTGACATGCTGCAGCTCCTTTAAGAGAGGTTTTCCTGATTCAATGGAAGCAGAAAAGCTGCAGTTTTGAAATGCCAGCTTTCTATGCCATGCTGCCAGCACAGACTCTGGCTCTTTCAGGAGGCCCAGCATTTAAACTGGGTTTGTGAGCAATGTGTTACAGCTTTCTTGGTGGCAACATGGACTGGCTGTGTGCCTGGAAGTGGGGTGGTATGTGGCTCTCAGAGGTGGCAAGAGGCTCCGCCATGCTGAACTGGGCAAGCAAAGCAGAAAGTACCATATTTCCCCTAGCAATGATGCAGCTGAAGTTTTTAAGAAGTGCTTAGCATTTTAAGACGTGCTCCTGAATAGTAAATAATTACAGATAAACAACAGGACAGAATCAGGCATAAAAGACCTCTAAATGGGTCACAGTGTTGGATAAATGTACATAGACTTGGGAGAGAGAAGAAAAAGAGTATAGAGAGTTGGAAAATAAGCAAATCATTTTTTAAAAAGTCTTTAAAGAGACAAAGTACAGACAATCATAGATTAAAAGGAGTAAAAAAAAAAATAAGCCATGTAAAGATAGACTATACACAGAGAGTCTGGATTATGCATATTATTGTGTTTTCTTTGAGTATTTTGACTGTGAAGGAGCTAAATAAGAGAGACATTTCATTATGTGTGCTGCTAAGCTAAACCAGCATGTATATTATAAAGGTATCTTGACTTCAGAATTTGGGTCTAAGGATATGCTGTTTTGGAAAAGAGGTTCTTCTTTTGTTATCACTGAGGATGGGAACCTGTGGATTCATTCCAGGCTAGTATGGTTTGATAGACACAACCCCCTGAGAGGTTGCCGTGAACACCCCCCAAAATTAATTTGTCCAATAAACAGCAGGTAGAAGTTTGGACAAAACTATGCCCATATTCCCAAATATTGTTTGTAAATGCTTCTTTACATTTAAAGGGGGGTATGCTATAGAGATTTGCATTGGTATAGATCTTGATTTATTGATACAAATTTAAGGTAAATCTTGTTATATGTATATTCCTGCTCTTGATTAGGGTATTGTGATTGTGTAGTTCATTTAAAAAATGTAATATATAATAAAGAAATATAGGTTAATAGATAATCATTTATAATAGTCAAGTGTGTAGCCATGTTAATTAGATTTTCTAGATGTATAGAATTATATTTCAGTTAGATAGGTATTCTTCAAATCTTTCAGAGACCTTCAGAATATGGCATTTAAAATGCTTAAAAACTTAAGACTTTTCATGACAGTGAGACACATCTGTTCCTGGCAGCACTAAGCTACTTCAAGAGGATGATGTGCATTGAATAGGCCCCTTATGGAGTTGGTTGACCATTTGGCAAGCAATTGCACTTGCCTTGACTGATTGATACACTGGACATGCAGGACCTGCAGAGAAATGACTGCCAAACTTGCCTAAAGGTAAGATGGTCCTTCAGGGTTCCTGCTTCATGGAAAAGTCTGCTGGATACTATGGGCCTGTAGGCTGAAGATGGATGCCCCAATGGTATAAAAGAACTATGATCTAGGACAGTGATCTGTGAGTCTTCCCTTAATAAATAACCCTTTATTATGTGTAATTCTGAAGTAGTGTGGGATTATTTTGTATCTTCTGCCATCACACTCTTGAACCCTAGAACCTGAGATGCTGGTGGGAAGTTGTAGGTAGAATTAAAGTTGCTAAATGGTTGATTTTTAAATAAAAAAGTCAGTGTTAGCTCCCAAATGCTGGGCAAACAACTGAGTGAACTTGGCTGCCAGGTTCTCCTTGCATCTCTTAGCCCCTACCTGTTATGGGGTATGGCTGGCATGTCCCCCATACCCTAAACTTTTCCAGCCCAGTGTCTGGGGTGCCCTTTCCCCAGCTGCCCTTCCCTACATAACCCAGCATTTTGGTAACCTGGCCCATTTATCTATCCTCTCCTGACTCTCCCATGTCTTCTGCTGCAAGGCAGTTCTTTGTCGTAATAAGGATCAAAGAATAAGGAAGTAGAGTGTCACGTATTCACCAGGCCTCCTTTGGTGCCTGTGCACAGACAGCCCTGTGCTGCATGATCATGGCCAGGGGACCCCACTGCAGACTTCTGACCTCCATGATCACAAGGTGGTAGGTCTGTGGTGTCGAGCCACCAGGTTTGTGAAGATGGAGCAGCAACAGGAAACCATGAGAGTGTGCTTTTGGTTTTCCTGTCTGAGTTCTCAGAGGAGCAAGAAGCAGATCCACTCTAGCTACCTTTAGGAAAATACAGGAATGAACATTCGTAGAACCACCATAACTAGGAGTTTGTAAGGGGTTGAGACGGAGGGTAACTAAAGACTGACGGACAAAGCTGATGACTCATGGAAAGGCAGTCAGACCTCAGAGGGTGAAGGAGGGTCTTGTGGAGAGCTAAGGGAAAACAGACCTCCAACCTCGAGCCTCAAATGTCACAGAAGTGAGGACAAGAAGATTGGGGACATGCACTAGCAACCAGAGAGGCCAACTGAGCTTTCTCTACTCAGTCCATTTCACCTAGTTATGTCTCTTGTCTAACTCCTATAGACCGTAGGTTCCCCTTGCTGGGAGACAGGAGATGGAAGCATTGGTTGGCAGAGAAACAGGATTCCAGTAGGTGACTTGGGACTCCACAACTGGTCTGTCACTAATAAAGTCTAAAAGCAGCCATGAATCCACTGGGGTGGTAGCCCCTATGTGAGTTACTGTCAGTGAGCCCAAACTCCAGGCACAGTGACTTCCAAAACTTGCAACCAGGGCTCAACCAAGTTCAAACCTTGTGTTACCAAGAGGTTATATAGGTCTTGGGCAAGTCAGGTCTCCTCTTGGAGACACTGGTTTCTGCATCTGCATCATGAGGTGGGTGGAATTTCCACTAGGGCCATACCGTCCCAATTTGAGGGTTTCAGTCTAATTCTGCTTTGTTAATTTAAACATTAAAAACAAATGGGCTGATGTGGTGGTGCCGGCCTTTAATTCCAGAGCTCTGGAGACAGAGGCAAGCAAAGCTCTGTGAGTTTGAGGCCAGCCTGGTCTCCATAGTGAGTTTTAGGCCATGTGGATACACAGTGGGACACTACCGTAACCTACTTGGCCAAAATGAAGATATTCTAAAAAGACACTAATCTCATCCCATCAGATTATTGTAACAACGGACTGCAAAAATATGAGAATTTCCCTTGGAATCTCATGCGGGAAGAAGGAAAAGGCCCAAGCCAGTGGGGAAAATCAACTTATGCAAAGATAGAGTGTAATGGTCCATCCTGTCCCTTTAGTCCTCCAAGGCAAGTGGATCTTCCTTCCTCTTCCAGCCTGTGAGCTCCTTCTTTTCCATCTCTCTCCTGAAAAGGTATCTTCTCTTCTTCTCTCCTCTCCCCCTCTCTGTTTCTCTCTCTCTCTGTGCCTCTCTCTCTCTCTCTCTGCCTCTCTCTCTTTCTCTGCCTCTCCCTCTGCCTCTCTCTCCTCATCCCTCTTCTCTCTCCCTTTCCCCTTTCCCCTCATAACCCACTAAATAAATATTCTACCTCACTCTGCATGACATACCTATCTGTCTCTGTCCCTTACCTGCCACAGCTCCTTGTGGGACCAGCTGACCTGCTGAGGTCTCTGACCTGCTGTGGGTCTCTCACCTGCCTGGGACCCACTGCCCCTGATGGCTCGCTGCCACCTCTCGGGGACCTGAAGTGTTTTATTTTTACCATTACAGAGAGTTCATAGGTTAGTTTCCAATGTGTCTGATTTGCAGGATGAGACTGAAGGATGGGCAAATTGTGGGCAGGGTCACAGGGACTGGTTAGGTGTGCATATCCTTGACTCTCTAATTTAAATTTTGGTCTCACTTCAGGACTCTGGAAGGACTTGGGCATTTGCTGGTCCCTTTGTCCCTCTTCTCAATGTGGACACATTGAATAAATCTCCATTTGACTCCTTTTGTTTGTTTTATTTTTGGGGGACAGAGTCTCACTATGGAGTCCTAGAACTTGCTTTGTAGACCAGGCTGGACTCGAACTCCCAGAGATCCACCTGCTTCTACCTCCTGAGTGCTGGTATTCAAGATGTGCACCATCATGTCCAGCTAACTTGACTATTTTAACTGGCTCATTGAGGAAGGGTGGCTGAAACTGACTTGAAGCACAGGTTGTGTTCTATAATTATAATAATAATAACAACAACACTTATCTCAAAAACAAACAATTAAAAAAATGTTTTTAAATGGCCAACTTCTCCTTGGGCAGCCCTCATAAAAGATAAAAGAAAAGTATCCAGGAGAACTTGAAGTCCTGTTACTAGTGCATATTTCATTTGGGGGTCCAAATAAGCAGCACTTAGAGAGGAAGGGGCCAGCTCTGCATGCTAGGCCTCCAAGCTTAAACTGCTCTGCCTTCTACACAGGCAGTAAAGGATGTGCTATGCCCCAGGGAGGCAGTGCTCCTATTGTCAGCTGTTTCCATGGTAACATCAGGCCTGGCAGGTAGAAGCAGCTGGTCTTATCTTGGAACTCACAGGAAGCTGGAGGGGAGATGCTTTATCCCTGAAGGAGACTTACACGTCAAGCAGCCCTGGTGAACTGGAGCTTGCCTGGCTCAGCCTGACTCTCCTGGCTCCACGGTCACTATTTGTGGCTCTCCTCCGGGAAGTCATTTCCTCTTTCCCAGCTGTAACTGGAAGGGTTCAAGAGAACCATGGAAAAAACCCCCAGGGTATCACACCACCCTTCAAAGGACAACACGAGTATTCAGTTAATCTTGAGCCATTTCTTCCCAAGAAATAAACAATCTATTTTGATTGCATAACATAAAGAGGCGGTCAGATGGCTGAGACTCCTACGTGAAAATGATGAAGATCAAAACGGAGTGACCCAGGCCTCAGAGGCACATGCCTGTAATTCCAGCCCCTCGGAGGCAGAGACAGGTGGGCCATGGCTCACAATGAACCGAAAAGCAAAACTGTAAGTGGAACAAGAAGGGAAGCCTGGGGGTGCAATTCAGCTTGTAGAGTGGTTGCCTAGCATGCAGGAAGCTGTGTTCCATCCCCCGTACTACCTAAAGCTGAGCATGGAGGCTCAGGCCTGTAATCCCAGTCCTTGCTGGGTGAAGTCAGGAGGATCAGAAACTCCAGGTCATCTGCCACACATAGAGAGTTTGAGGACAACTTTGGCTACATGAGTCAGCACATAAAGGTGCTTGCTATGAAAGTCTGGTGGACCTGAGTTTGATCCCCAGAACCCACAAACAGGCAGAAGGCGGGAGACAGTTTCACAGGTTTGTCCTCTGATCTCACTGTGTGTTCAGTGGCTGTGCAACCATATACAAGAGTTTATACATATACATATACATATACATATACATATACATATACATATACATATACATATACAGTACTAATAGTACTGATGAAATAAAAAGAGAAACCGATGACTTTGTTTCTAATTTAAAAACAAACAAACCATTAATACCTTTTTAAGAATCTAAAAAAAAAAATCATTTTGGCAACTGCTAGCAAAATTCCTTGTGGCCAAGCTAAAGGTCAGCCTTTGTTTGAGAAAAGACCTTTAACGTCCTAGTATGGTGATGGGCCAGGGCACCAAGGCAGTGGAAGGGGTGTAAAGGGGAACCGAGAGTATTCTTTGCTCAAAGGGGGCATTTCTACTTTGCTCCTTATCAGAGGAGGGAAAATGCAGCCTGATTGAAAGCTTGGGGACGAGGAATCGAGAAAGGGTGATAGAGGCTGCTGAGCGGAAGGTTGGGGATCCCCTCACTGTCGGGGGTGGCTGTGACCACTGCCTGTTGTGCAAGGTCTGAGCTACTCCAGGGAGTTTTCTTCCCAGAGGGAGGACCACACAGCTGCGCAGCTTTGCACAGGGGTGGAATTCCCCAGGGCACAGGATCCCAGAAACCAAACAAGCCTTGGGAACACAGATCGTGGATAAACCCTTCAGCTTTCTGGAGACTCAGAGCAAAGCGGGGTTGGGGTGGGGTGAAGGAGGGTGGGGGGTAGGGGGTGAGGATGCTGCTGAGGCTTTTAAGAACTTGGGAGGCCATCTGCCAACCTACTCACACCTGAAAAGGTGGTGGGAGTCCCAGTGTCAGGGTTTGCCAAAGGCTTGACCATCCACAGAGGTTGTTGGAGGGAGACTTTAGCCTGCTTTCAGGATGTACGGATCATGGGGGAGCTGAGATCTTTGTCCCATGAAGGGAAATCCAGCCCTCACCTGGGCATTTCCAGAGTGGAGGAGAGGGACCACCTTCCAGTAGAGGCTTCCCTAGCCCTCCTGAGCCTGAGACCTCATGGTTCCTCTACAACAGTGGTTCTCAACCTTCCTAATGCTGCCATCCACATATATATAAATTTATTTATTTTTCTATTTTTTTGGTTTCTCAAGACAGGGTTTCTCTGTGTAGCTTTGGAGTCTTAACTGGCACTAGCTCTGTAGACCAGGCTGGCCTCAAACTTGCAGAGATCTGCCTGCCTCTGCCCCCCAAATGCAGGGATTAAAGGTATGCTCCACCACTGCCTGGCAATGCTGCCACCCTTTAATACAATTCTTGCTATGGTGACCCCCCAACCATAAAGTTGCTTTTGTTGCTACTTTATAATTGTAATTTTGCTACCGTTATGGATTTCAATGCAAATATCTGTGTGTTCTGATCCTCTGAGGCCACCCCTGCAAAAGAGTCATTTGACCCCAGAGGGGTTGCAGCACATGGAGTGAGAATCACTGCTGTGGAATAAGTCACCAGACTAGCAAACTGCAGGGAACCAAAAATAAACTCACTGCAAGGCTATTGGAGCCTTCTCAACTAAAAATAACCAGAACAGAGCAAAGGGGACCTGGGGGTCAGCCACCCTACTCAGGGACAATACCTCAGAAGATGTGGCAGAGGCTCCGAGGGTCTATGGCAACTCAGTTAGGGGTTGTAGGTGCAGGCTTCGATCTTGAGGAGTCTGACCAGCTCCACTGTCCCAGATAGACGATACCTGTTCTAGAGGAAAAAGTGAGAGACTAAATAAGCCCTTTGCCTCTTCTCAGTGGACAATTCTCTCTCAGTTTCATTCTCCTCATCTGTAAGGGGGTTGGGCAAGTAGCTTTGTCTGGGCTCCATGTGAAGGTCAGGTGTGACCCACAAGGATACCATGGGAGGGGCTCACTACTTAGAAACCCCATTGAGACTCCAGATTGGCATACTGAGGGTCTCAGGGAGGCATTATGCCAGGGTGGAAAGCCTGCTCTCTAGACAGTCCGAGCCCTTGATCAAAGCCCACTACCAGCACCCTCTCCCTGTTGGCTTTCAAAAGAGTTCCAAAATAGCCCAGAATGGAGTATAACAAAGGTTTATTTATCTGGGGATAAACTCACAGAAAGAGTAGTGATCTGCAGTCCTCTGTGTACACTGAAAACTGAAACCAAATCCAGCAGCCAAGAAGCCCGTGCATGCTTTTCATATGCATTCATAGTACATGAGACTATATCCAAAGTGGGCTGGTATCTTAAAAGCTATTGACTGAAGGAATTCCCACAGCACCTCCTCCTTTTGTCTAAAGAAGAGAGTTCTAATCATAATACAAAACTATATATGATAAGAACAAATCTCCAGTATTGTCCAGGGAAAAGCAGAGGCAAAAACATACACAAAAATTAGAATTACAACCAGCATGAACAACATCAAGCAAAAAATATATGTTAAATGTTTCAATAGTTTTTCTATCCTAGGAGTTTATTATATTAAAAACGGCTTGACAAAGTCATGAGAGGAAAGTAACTATGCCTATCTAGTCTTCAACCCCATCGAAGACTTGAGAAGAGAAACAATATTACTTGAATAAACATGAAGTGCAATCAAGCAACTTTCAAATCTGCAAGAAATGACAGAGACAACTGTCTACCTGGGCAATCACCCAAAGTCTTTTTTGCAATGTTGGGGCAACCAACTTTGGCTAAGGCCTAGAGTATCTGTCAGACCATTTTCAGAGGCAGGAAAAATTTAAAAACTGCCTTACCCTGCCTTGGCAAGGGTTGGCAGTCTTTCTGCTTGTATCCTACTTGTCCAGTCTAGACACCATGCATTTTGTCAGTGGTCAAAGCAGGGGCAGTTCTTTGCCCAAAGGTCAGTTTTGTCAAGAAGAAAACAAGCTTCAGTGGAGTGTTTTCGGTGCCCAACATTCTCTCAGGAATAAACCAGTGTTGCCAGGAGCAATTGTGTCTCATGTCAACAGAATCCTAAGTTATTTAAATGCCATATTCTACAGTCCTTTGAAGTGTTTGAAGAAGTTTCAGACTACCTATCTGAAATACATCTCTGTACATCTAGAAAACCTAACTAACATGACTACAATGTTTAATTATTATAGATGACTGTCTATTAGTCTGTATTTCTTAACTATACATTACATTTTTAAATGAGCTGCACAAACACAATATCTTAAACAAGAGCAGAAATACATATACACAGGGTAGTAATTCAACCTTAATTTTCTATCAATAGACCAAAGTCCATGCCAATGTATTCACCTCTATATATCATATCCCCCTTATTTATTTATTTATTTATTTTTAGAAATTCACTATGTCCATTAATCACTTACAACCAACCCTTTTAAAACGAAAACAATGATTAAAATTTAAACAATGTTTAAAATTAAACAATGATTTTGGGAATGTGGGCATCACTTTCTCCAAACTGCTTCCTGCTGTTTGTTAGGCAATGTACTTTTAAGGGTTCACAGAGAACTTTTGGAGTGTCTTATTCCATCAAACCACATTAGTTTGGAAGGAATCCACAGGTTCTCATCTTCTGTGGAAACAAAAGCAGAACCTCTTTTCCAAGGTAACATATTCTTAGACTCAAATTTGAAGTCAAGATATCTTTAAAATATATGTGTTGGTTTAGCTTAGCAATACCCAGAAACAAATGTCTCTCCGTAGTCAAACGAAAAAAAGAAAGAAAGAAAATACAATAATGTACATAATCCAGACTCTCTGTGTATATTCCATTTTTACGTGGCTTATTTCTCTTTACTCCTTTAATCCATGACTATCTGTACCCTTTTATATTACTTTTACTGTCTCTTTAAAGACTTTATTTTTAAAAACTATTTATTTCTTTTTATAACTGTCTATATTCTTTTTCTTCTCTCTCTGAAGCCTATGTACATTTTTAAAATACACTGTGACTCATTGAGAAGTCTTTTATGTCTGAATCTATTTTATTGTGTATCTGTAATCATTTTCTGACCAGGAATGCCTCTTAGAATGTTAAGCGACATGGCTAGGACTAAGGCTGCTTTGTCTTTGACTCCACCCAGTCCAACATGACGGAAGTATGTTCACCACCAGCTCTGTGAGCCATGATTACCATGCAGCTCCAGGGACACAGTGGGTCTATGTCTCCATTAAGCAACCTGTAGCACTTTGCTCACAAACCCCATTTAAATGCTCCATAACAGGACCTCCCGAAAGAACCAGAGCTGTTCCGTGAAGCCAGCACAAACCGGGAAGCTGGCTTTTAAAGAAGCTGTGCTGCTGCTTATAGCCAGCAAACAGAACTTTTCTGGAAAAAAAAATGTGGCTACCAAGAAGTTGCACTTGGCTCCCATTTTTGTAGGTCTAGAAGCCTTCTTTTTTTAAAAAGCTTTTTTGGATATTATATGTATTCATGCCCCAGATGGTGGGTACCTGCTTGTTGGCATTCAAAAGAGTTCCAAAATACCCTGGAATGGAGTATAACAAAGGTTTATTTATCTGGAGATAAACTCACAAAAAGCATAGTGATCTGCAGTCCTCTGCATACACTGAGAACTGGAACAGAATCCAGCAGCCAAGAGGCCCATGTATGCTTTTCGTCTGCATTTATAGTACATGAGACCATACCCAAAGTGGGCTGGTGTCTTAAAGGCTATTGGCTTGAAGCATCTCCCAAGACCCATGTTAATGATTGAAGAGCATCAGGAGTTGTGGTTTGATCTTGTCAATCACCAAGGACATCCACAGACACAGGCCTTATGTTCACCCCAGACTCCAGGTTCAGTGGTTTCCCTTTTTCCCTTGCTTGTTCCTGCCGAATCCCTCATTTGCTCTGAGCATCTCACTCTGGGTCCTCACCCATCCCCTTTTTCAATCACTTAAAAGGGAGGTGTGACCCTCTCATTAGGGCTTCTCCGTGGCACCTGGGATGGAACACAGCCTGCTGGGGACGAGGGATGAAGGTTCCCTTCCTAGCTTTGCTATTTCCTGGCTGAGGACTTGGAACTCTTAATGCCAGTTTTCCCATCTATAAAGCATAGCAAATAATCATCGTGACACCTACTTCATAGATGGCCTTTAAGACTTGTGGAGGGAAAATACATAAAATGCAAAGCTTGGGCCTGGGGAAATAGCTTAGTCAGTCAACATGCTTGACAGACATACATCAGGCTCTGAGTCCAATCCCCAACACCCACATAAAAATCCAGGCATAGTGATGTATATTTATAACCCCAGGTAAGGTAGGGGGATTCCTGAGATTCGCTGGCCAGATAACCAAGACTAACTGTCAAGTTTTAGGTCATAGTGAGAGACCCTGACTCAGAAATCAAGGTGGACAGCTCCTGAAGAATGACACTTAAAACTGGCCTGTGGCCTGCAAATGCATGTGCACACACATGTACCTGAGAGAGTGCACACAGGCATACACAGACACACACACAAACACAGAGGCTTACACACATACACACAAACAGGTACACATGGCTTACACATACACACTCAGGCACACACACACAAGCACACACAGGTGCACACACACAGCACACATATACACACACATACACACATACAGGCACACACATATACACACATAGGCATACACAGGCACACACACATATGTACAGCCATACACACATATGCACCACAGGTGCACACACACACACATATATATACACATAGGTGCACACACACACACACACACACACACACAGGGACACACACACACACACACACACACACACACATTCAAAGGCAAGACTTTTACATGAAGGAGCCCAAAACATCATTGATGGAAATTAAGTAAATCCCTAGACAAATAAAAAGACAACTTGTATTCATGTATTGGAAGATCTGATACCATGAGGATTTCAACCAATTTCAATTATCCTTTGTGTGTGTGTGTGTGTGTGTGTGTTTTGAGACAGCATTTTACTGTGAGCTCTGGCTGTCCTGGGACTTTCTCTGTAGATCACACAGGCCTCAAACTTACAGAGATTCACTTGCTTCTGCCTCCCGAGTGTCGCGATTAAATGAGTGTGTCACTATCACCCAGCTAAAAATTATTATTATTATTTTTTAAATGCCTGGGCATGTTTTGCCTACATGTATGTAGGCATGCCTGGTACCCATGGAGGTCAGAAGAGGGTGTTGGGTCCCCTAGAACTGGACTTAACGGAGCTTGTGAGTCACCATGTGAGTGCTGACATTAGGTCTTCTGTAAGAACTCAATGACTCTTAACCACTGAGTCTTCTCTAGACTCAGGATTTTAATGTCATCAATACACCCAAATTGTCAGAGCTTGCCCAGCTGAGGCCTTCTCACGAGGAACTGCATTCTCCCAAACTCTCAACCCCCTCTCCATCCCCAGGTCTTCTGCAGGCTTTTCCAAGGGTCTGTCTTCCTGACCTAGAGGAGGTGTATGTGGATGACGAGCCAACACGGCTTGTACACATGCCTGATGTGCAAAGTGTAAGGGCAGGTGCATGTGTCTACTACATGTACAGATGCATGTGCATGTGTGTCCTTGGCTGTGGGACAATGTGAGGATGGGAACAGACAGGGAACACACAGGGCCCCACCAACCCGTGTTATCATGGTACAGGCAGAACACCTGAGAGTTCAAAGTCTAAATCCAAACCAGATCTTTTAGGCCCCTTTGAAGGTGTATTTGTCAAGGAAGAAGACTGGAGCATATCTATTTCATAGTTTGTGGGTTTGCTGGACCACTTTCAAATATGGAGACACAGAGTGTTGCACTGAGACTGTCCTGGGAAGATTGCTACATTCTCACAGACTTCCTTCTTTCAAGGACACCTCATATATCTGCCTGGCCTACCCAGTTCCCCTCAAACTCAGCCAAGATCCCCAATTTCCCTGGACAGATGTAGGCCATATTGGGTCTTCTTGACACCCATCACCGAAGAGGAACCAAGGGCTCCTTGGAGGCCCTGAACTTTTTCTCCTCATTGACTTAATTAATGCTGAGGATGGAGCTGGATGGATTCACACCCTTAAGGCACCCAGTATAAGTTCTGGGACCAGTGGCGACACACTTTCTGATCTTGCCACCAGAGGGCAGGCACACACAGCATCTGGAGCATGGCCATTCTGAAGAAGAAAGCGAGGCTTGATGGGCACCTCAGTGTCTAGATCAAGATGGGAGGAGGAGAAGGGAAAGGAATAGGAGACCCGGGACAGCCTCTGCACGTCTCATGAGGCCCCAGCTTGAGCCTCAGAGAGCTCATTTTTTCTTCTTGCCCTTCTATTCCTTGTTCCATCTCCCTTCGCTTCCTGCTCTCTCTTAAGAGGATACCTCTTCTCTAAGCCCTAGATTACTCTCTCATCTATAAAATGAAAAGAGTAATGTAACCAACTCAGAGCACATCCCCTGCCCCTTTACCTCGGGGGTGGAGACATTTTATATAAGACAACTCTCTCTAGTTGTCAAAAGGAGCTAGTGGCTATGTCCCAGGCAAAACCAGTCCATCTCTCTCCCCTAGCGTGAGCTGGCTCATCAGGCCTCTGTTTCTGGTGAAAGGTGTCATAAGGTTCTATTCAGTGGTGCCGGGCAGGCTGGCTGAACTTGACAGACCGGAGTGGCAACTGCTTCTCCAGCCTGGGAACTTTAGCAACGTCAGGATGCATTCAGAATCTCAGCAGAGCTGCTCTGTGTCAGAACAGCTAAGCAGGTGCACAGGAAGGATGGACAGAAGGAAGGAAGGGAGGGAAGGAGAAAGGAAGGGAAGGAGGGAGAAAGGGAGGGAGGAAGGGAGGGAGGGAGGGAGGGAGGGAGGGAGGGAGGGAGGGAGGAAGGGGAACATATGAGCTCATGCAACCCTGTAGAACACTTGTAACAAAGGAATTTTTTTAATG